GACATTTGCAGCTGTAATGATTCTTTCTTGGGGTATTTTCCTATGAGAAAAGCTAAGAAGGACAAAAAACTCTCATCATTTGAGGTAAAGGTTTGTTGGTGCTCATTTATGTTTTCCTCTCAAGTCTGCTCCTAAACCCAGTCTCCTGGGAGCATAGGTCAAGCCTCATGCCTGTGTCTCTATCTGTCTGTATATGCAGTTTTAGCTGTTCCTAAAATTACTTTTTAAAGTACATATATAAAAATATTCATCTATGAGGTAGGTCATCCTACAGTCACTGCAGCCTAGAGAAGCAGCTGTGAACGGCATTCAGAGCGAAGCAAAGTTGATTTGATCCCACGGGGACTTGTTCGGTGGATGTAAGAGTGGTCTCTAACAGAAGTTCGAGGCCTGAGGAGCTCTGGGTTCAAGGATTCATATTGCTCGCTGGGAATAATTCCCAGAGCTGAAACTGACCCAGATGGTGGAGTATTAAATGCTGAGAAGAGCAGGTTTGAGGATGATGCAGGTTAAATACACCACCTGGATGCATGCATGAATGAAAGGACATTAGGGATTTGCTTGTAGAGACAGTTATACATATACTGAAAAAGGGCCAGGAGTAATTCGGGAGCTTATGGCACTGTTTGCCTTTGGGATATAGATTTAAATCCATTCCTCTGAGCTACTCTTAAAATTCAGTCATGGCTGGAAGTCACAAACACTTCAATCTGTTTGCATGGATTTTTAATGCTGGGAAAATAACAGGTCTGGCCACCTCCCGAAGCCACTCAGTGAAATCTATGCACACCAGCTGTGCCCACCCTCTCTAGCAATGTGGGTTAGAATGATCCAGAATTAAAAGATCATCTAAGCACTGCTCTGCTCCCTGTTTCATTATGCCATGAACTGTTTGCTCCTGTATAGCATTAAGCATGGGAGCCTGTTCACAAGGAGCAAAGACCACCATTTTCCCTGCATAATAACAAGGTGATCCTGAAAGCAGTTCTGCACTTGTCAGTGGGTGTCTGTTTCTCTGCACATACTTAGGGCACAGAATCACTCTGACACCACATCCCACTTCGCTAGCAAAGCACAGTAATTTCAGTCCCTGAAGGTCTCCTTCCAAAGTGCTTTAAAGTTGTCTGCCTGTCCAATTTATGTAGGCACAGTGATTTCGTGGTGAGTAAGATGGGTATGAATAGGTGTCACATTTTGTGATTTTTCTACCGTTAAAATAGCCTTCCTCCATTTTAAAGTGTACTAGCTGGGGGATGGAAAACAGCAGCACTCTTAGGTAGTTTACACCAATGCTAAGGAAAAGTCAAGGTCAAGGTCTTAAAAAGACTGTATTCTTTTCAGAGCAACAGTAATATTATAATTATTATTATTATTGTCATTATTACCTTTTTTTAACAGTAGTAATGCCTTAACTTCTGACCAGTTTCTCCATTTCTTCAGCCTTCATGGATTACTCCTTTTTTTTTTTTTTTTTTTTAAAGTATTATGAAACACTCCCAGAAGAGAATATGGGTGAGACGACAAAACTGGTAGTGAGGATCATATCAAAGGTCCACTACAAGGTTTTCCTCCCATCAATTCACCATCTCCATCATTAAACTGTAAAAGATCCCCTAGGAAGAATACAAGAGCAGGGCAAGCAACAAGCATTATGACCTTGATATACTCTCCCAAGCTGCGCTAAGCCACTGCTTCTTAAGGCAGAAATGGCCCTTTTGCAGTTCATATTTCTGATGGATTTTCTTCCATGATGTTGTTTGATACTATGGGAATCACTAACATTCATACTGCATTTCTGTTTCTGCTATTTCTCCAGCAGAAAGATTGTGTACTTGCACCTTTTCAGCTGCAGCCTTCAGAGTCAACACAGCCTTTTCTTTATATATGTAGAAAGAAGCTAACAATTTTCAGTGGGAAATAACAAAAAAGTTTGCTTTCCCCTACCCTGGCCAGCCTTCTAATACTATCCAGGTGGCCTTGGGGCACACGAAACACATTCTCATCATCATAGCAGGAAAACAACATTTCAGCAGGCTGCAGTACAACATTCTCATTATATCCATCATTTTGAACTGAAACCTGGGGCTCAGAGGAGGCTGCAAAAAGTCCTCAGCTGTGTATATGGCCACTTAAGTCTAGATGGTATCCTCTCTAAACTGTGTAGCCAGGAGGCAGTCTGCATCAGTTGCTGGAGACAGCTGTGCTCCCTCTCTCATGGGAGCAGTTTGCCTTTGGGAGTTGGACAGTTTCACAGCAAAGGCCTCGTGGCATCAGAGTGTGGTCAGGAAAACTGCAGTGTGTGGACATAGAGACCCTGCTCAGGTCTTCAGAAATGGAAGGAAGACCTGTGCTGCTTCCCAATACAATATAACTGGTTTATATAGCATTACAACTGGATTATGTTTCTTCTTTTTTTTTTTTTATTTTATTTTTTTTTTCCCAGACCAGCTCATTTATTATTACAGATGAAACTGAGATCCTTTTCACATCCCTGTTCAGCAGCCAACCACTGTATGGTGCTGAACCATTCATATGATGCCCCTGAGCCTTGAAATTTTAGACTTAAATTTGGGATGATGAAAGTTTCTTCATTCCTTCATTTGACTTGTCAATTTAAAAAGCATGCTGTTTGAAATGGGTACTCCTTTGTACTATTTGTACACACTATACAGTGCCACCAGTTGTCCCAAAACATAAATACTACAGCAAGGATTACCAGGTAATACCATTTCATACAACTGCATATTCCTTCCTAAGAAGGTAAGCACTGCAGAGTCTTTCAAGAAATATGGTACAGATAAATATGAGGCATTTCTTCTTCTGCAGTAAGATACTGCAAATAACAGGAGTTTATTTTGCACTTTAATTCCTCATTTATATCACATTTTTTTCAGGTACAATCTTTTATTGGAAAATGATGATGTTTTTGACAGAGAATCCTGTTAAAGTGGAACTGCCTAGCATCTGGTTTTGATCACTGTTGACTGAAGGTTTAGATGATACACACAAAAGGTAGGTGGCCAAGACATAAATGAAGGCAAGATTGCAGTATCTCATTCCTCTCCATGAGTTTCAGAAGGAAGCCACCCAGAAGAAAAACAAAAGAAAAGGAGAACTCAGTGGACATTTGATGAAAGAAGAAGAATAAGAATGGGAAGGAAGAAAGGACAGGCCTGAGACATGGCCACTTTGCATTATGTTATATTACAAAAAGAAGAAATGATATAAAGTAGATGAGGTTTGTATTTATAGTAGCATACAAATATTTAAGCTAATTAGCTCTATCTGTGTGTCACATTAATTTTAAACAGTAGCTTCCAGTAAAGTGGTTCAAAGGCTGGAGAGAAGACAAGGGGAAGCAAGAAATTTTGCAGCTCTGTGAGCAGAAAAAGCTACTTCCAAATTTCCTGTGAGCTGAGAGACTCGTTCATAGTTCTTCATTCCTTTCCAGGAGCTGTAGTAGCAAAATCTGTCAGCAAAACAGGCAGCCAGCTAGAGAACTGGTTGAGTCAATAAATGGGGTGATATACAGCTACTACAGATAGAGGCTGGTAAAGGAAGATGCACCTAGCAAAAATAAACCAGGCAACAGATCGGATCAGCTTAGATCAGGTCTTCTACAGCAAGACTAAATCATGAACTATGATGTAAGATTACCTTAGGAGGGTAAAAGAAGTGGTTTAATAGTTGCTGCCCAAAGTAAAATGGGCTGTAAATTGTTCTACAATTTGACTCTAGGAATTAGCAATTAGTAATCTGTGTAGCAATTACTAATCTCCCTTGTTAGGTTTGGTGTGTTGTTTTTTTGTTTGTTTGATTGTTTGTTTTGTTGTTGCTGTTGTTTTCTTTCTCTTACATTTACTGGTTGTTTAGTCATTCATACCATGCATTTGTAATGAACAAAACTACCCAACTGAGTTCCAAAAACTTACCATAACTTTCCCAGGATTCTCATTGTATGCTTAGTCCCATCCCTCTGCCCCCGAAAGCAGGGTCAGCTAGAGCAGGTTTCCCAGGATCATGTTCTGAATATTTCAGGTTCTGAATATTTCCAGGGATAGAGCCTCTACAGCCTCTCTGGACAACCTTGTTTCAGGGTTTGAATACCCTCACAATGCAACTGAAGTTACATACATAAACATCTTGCAGATGAAGAATTTAAGACTACCCATTACTCAATTTCTCTGCTCAGAAATGACCTCCCTGGTCTGAAAAAGTCCTCTATCTCACCTTGTAAAGAGATCAGAGATTATAGTGCAATGATAAATATATTTTCTTCTGAATTCTTGACTCCCAAGTGATGTTTCAAATCCTTTAAACTTCAAGCTGGGCTTTGAAGGAAAAGAGGTTGCTTGCTGCCAAAACATGGTATCTTCCACCCTACCACAAGTTCTACATGCTTTGTCTACCCTGCAGCACAGTTCACATAAATGAAACTCCTGCTACTCAAAGCATCTCATTTTCCTTCTTTCTTTGTTTTTCTTTCCATTTAATTAATTTCATTAAAGTTTCTTGGTCCTTTTTTTTTTTTTTTTCTTCTGGTTTGACCAATTATAAATAGTACATAATCATAATTATGGTAAATTACAAATTACTTCCCTTTATCGAAACTTCTACTTACAGTCCCAGGATAAATTTAATTGTATCTGTATTTACAGATTTGCACTGACCTACAGCATTTTATGTTAGAGTGGACAGAAGTGCTTCATTAAGAAGCTGAGAATTGGTTAGAAATCCAGTTCTGTGGAATACAGCTCAAGAGCCTGGGCTCTGCTTTTATACTGCTGGTTATGCTCAGTGATCTCTTCACAGTTTGATCCTTCAGGCTCTGAAGGACTTATTCAGGCTCACCTGAGTATCATAACCACGTGTCATTGATATTACTAATTGAAATGTAATTAACCAACATAAAACATGTGCTTAGACCAAGTATATATTCTACAAAGGCATCCTTCAAAATAAGGCTTCAATAGTGAAACTTCATTTTATTTTTTATTGTGTTCCTCTTCTCCTTTGTACAAGTCATGCTCTTGGCTAGATAAGGGTGCTGCTGCAGAAATACACTATCTCAGTGTATGCAGGAAGATGATGAGTAACTAGTGTAAAACAGGGGATAAATGTCATGATTGCTCATGAGGCAAACCTACAGCAGAGAGGATTTTATGCATGCTCCTCAAATACTTTTTGAAAGATAGATTGGCTCCAGTTTTGATGGGACAAAATATTTTCTTTGTCTCTCACTTAGATCATATTCAAGTAATCACATGAAGACAACCAAAGACAGAGACTGTGACCCGGTTCCTGTCTTGAATCAAATGACTTATTGCAAGGTTTTCCACTTATCATATGGCCCAGGGTGTAGAATCACTTCTTTCATTTTTGTTTGTAAAACTGGTCACCCTGAAAGTGTGACCATGTTCTTCAATCAAGCACAGAATGAGAGTTCCACAGGGGTTTTCTCTATGAATCCCAGAGCAGCAATATTGCTGACTTTGCCCTGCAACTGCCCGCTCTCCAAATGAAGAAAAGAACCTGACAGAGGAAGCAAAGCTGTAGTTGTAGTTGCTCTGACATGTACTTATATATATTACTCTCTTTCTATGAGCTTTCCACTGTTCTCTCATCTAGCAGGGTGATTTGCAAACTTATCTTCTGTTGGGGAAGAGCAACAGAGTACTGGTATCACCTCTGTCTCTGTGACAGCTTAAGCCACTGTTACTTAAATGGAAGAAACACGGTAGACTCAGCCACTGTTGAGGTTTTTTAAAAGTGCACTGCATGTCTTCAGGGAGAGCAGAAAGAGCAAAGTCCCAATCTTTATGTATGTGTCACACCTGGAATAAAGACATGAAGGAAATTTCACCCAAAAATGTGGTCTTGGGCTGGCAAGCTTTATAAATTTCTATGCCAATGTCAGCTTTGAAACCTCTATCAGAAAAATAAATAAATAATAAAATAATAAAATAATAATATAAAACACCACTAATTCGGTTGGGTTATTACAATATTATGTCTAAACTGTTGCTAGGATGCCATGTACAAAACATACATGGTCATCCCTGAAATGCAGATCAGATTCTGTGTTCGTGTTTACAAAGGATGAGTATTATTGTAAACTGGCAGTAAAGCAATATGTCTAAGACTAAAATATCCATGATAATGGAAGAAAGAATTTCAAATGAAAAGGAAAATGGCAGCCTTAACGCACTTTTACTGACTGTCTGTAAAGATCTTCAGGAGGCTGAGAAGTCAAAAGGAAAAATATATGCTATCTTTCGCCTTTCTGTAACATCAAGTGAAAGCTGAACATTATGAATGGGTAGCATTTGAACTCTGGGGCTTTACTCGATGGGATGGAAAAGGGAGCCTAAGATGTTAAATGTCAATGATACTGATCTCATGAGGTAACTGAATAGCCCAAGCAGGACATGCTCTTTAAAGATGCTCTTTTGCAAAACCTAATATAAATAGTCATTCTTCCTGCATAAATAGCCATACTTTGCTTAGTAAAGACTTTATTTTATGACTGATGAGAAAAGTGGGAGGTAATGGCTGTCCATGAAGTTTTAGTGAAAACTGACATGTCAAGTAAACTTTCACAGTAGCTAATTAGCAACATTGGAATCCACAATATTCTTCTGAATCCTATTTGCAGACGTAAAATAAGAATCCAGTATCCTGACTCTCTTGCATCTACCATACAGATCATATATGTTGGTTTATCTCTGGGATGTTGTTAGTTTTTAATTTTTCACCTGACAGTATTACAATGATGTTGAAGGATGATGGGGTTCTTGTTAGCCAAATACTTTGTGTTTCAAAGCAAATCATCAGGAACCCCTCTAACCACAATGCCATTCATAATTAATAACAAAGATATGCTATTTATACATTATACAGTTGAAGAGAAGACATATGTAATTATGTCTGTTTTTAAAAGGTCACAAGAAATGTACCTTTAATAAATAAGATGGCTTTGTTTCTTCCTTTTTAGCAGAACACACTCTGTGCATAGAATGGAAATCTTCTCCATACTGAATTATATTTCCTGCACTGTGACTGTACTGGCCTGCAAAAGATGGAAAGTTTTCAAAGCAAGAGATTGTTTTATGGAAGTTACAAGTATTACATGCTCAGACCTAAGTACTGAACAGATCAAATATCTGGTTAGACTTCTGTCAGGGATTGAACTGAGAAGTTCTTAACGTGTACAGTAGATAAATACTAGCCCTCAAACTGACCTCAGTCATTGCAAGGACAGAGCCCTTCAGCATACAGGACTTTGCTGTATAATTTCCAGACTCCTTTCTCGATCCACCTTTTGATCTTAAAGCAAGCAAAGTCTCTCACAGACCAATTGCTGAAGTGCTCTTCTATGCCCAAGGGGTCCTTACTGTTCTTCAGCTGTTTTCAGTTCCCTCTGCTCACTGAGATGCTCAATAAACCAGGGACAGCCCAGTGCTGAATTAGGCACTGCTCTCCTACTCCTTGTTTTCTCACAGCAAATTTTATTCCCCAGCAAAGTTTATAAAAGCTGCAGTTGCAGTTAAGGCTGTGATGGAGCACACATACTTTGTCAGCAGGGTTCATTTAACAGGACATTAGTAATAAACAGCACAAGTATGATCACTCACCATATTGATCCTTGTCTGGTGGTGGCAGTGGTAACACTAGAGCAAGAAGTGGGATGTAATTACATTTTATGTGCCAGGAATCTCTGAGATTTCAGAGGGCTGAGGGTGAGGGTTCTCTCCTCCTCCTCCACACTACCTCCCTACTCCCCAGCTGACATGGTGTTTCTGGGGAACTGAAACTGGGAAGCCCTAAATGGACTTCACACCTTGGCAGAGACCCTTGAGCAGGATTTGTGTCTCCTCTAAAGTCAGTGAGTATTTTATTGATTTTACAGCTAAATCCTTTGGCAAAGGGACTAGGATCACCCAGGACAGGATGTGATCCTGGAGTGAATTCTTATTTTCCCAGAGCATATATTTATGGGCCAAGAAGGGGGGGAGGCAGAGCTAGCTCCTCCAAACTGCAGTGCTTTCCAAGTTCAGCAAAGCCTCAGACACAGCAAACTGTCTTGGGCTCCTATGTCCCCTACTAGAAATGCTGAAGGCTGAGTGCCTTCAGTCACCTCAGGACACAGGCACTCTGCCTCCTTTTCCCAGCCAAGTAATGTAGCTCCACCCAGGGTGCCCCTGTGCAGAGTAGTAAATGTCCTTGGATTGGGATTTACTTAAACAGAGTAAATTGGGATTGGGATTTTGATCAAAGAGAAAGAAGAAACACCAAAACATGCCTACAGCTTCCTAATGAGTGAAGAGAAAGCTCCCACAGACCATCTCAGTCTCATTACTGAGGCTGTGCCCTTCCCAATGGTCCTGAGTCCTGGGCAGAACAGATCTCTTCTCTCTCTTGGGCATATTTTGTCTGCTGCACCAGTAACAGTCATTTCTCTCAACAAACAAATCCTTCCTTTGCTCAGCAGCAGGACCACTAACCTTTCTGCACTGTCTCTTTGCTCCCTCCACAAAGCAGGCACTGCCTCCTTCTGCATCCCTGACCTTTCCTCAATGTCTCTCCATTTGTTGCTTCTGTCCTTTTTAAAAAGCTTCTTATTGATGTTTTTAAACTGATGGGGGAACATAAACAAGTAATAAAGAAAGGTTAACAATACTGAATCGATACTACAGAGAGAGGCGTCAGGGAGATGGAATTGAGGAGGTTGACTGTGAAGGAAAGCAAAAGGCCAAATTTAATCACAGTGCTATTGGCAATTAAATTACATTTGGGATTGTTGTTTTTTTATTTTATTTTTTTTATTTTTTATTTTTTTAAGGAAAAACTAATGAAAGCACTGACTGGTATTAGTGTTTCAGAAAAAGCAAAATATATGAATGGAAACTCTGACCAAAGGCTTTTTCATATTCTTGTTAAGAATAGTGTGAGCTATCCCAGATTATTATGGTCTTTTTTCTTCTGACTGAAAAGGAAAGGAAAATGCCCATGATGTTAAAACAGGGGAGTTCTGTAGGTATGGGCTTAGATCTGCTACCAAGTGCAGAGATGTACATAATGTGTGTGCTCCAGGGACAGTTACTGGTAGTCCTTGTCTCAGCTTCCACATTTTTAAAATCATGTGGGAAGAAAGGGCAGATCCCACTTCTGGGCTGGATAACTCCCTTTTAAGTGTTTCAGCACATCACTGTGAATTGACTAAAGACAACATCCAGTGCTTACTCTGAGGTTGTTCTTTCAGACTGGTGTGTCTCTTGCCTTCATTTCTCACTCTTATGTTGAAGTAGAAACCATGAAACAAACAAACAAAACAGCTAAGAAACAAAAGCTCTGCACCCACCCTCCATATTTGTGATCTTACCACCAAAGTTGGTTTTGCCGGATTAGAGGATGTGGACTAATGCTGACACTTGGCCCTGCTGTCCCCGGGACTACCCGTAATACACAGTGTGAAGGGCTGCAGCTCCTCACTGTCACCTGGCACGCTGTGTTGTGGTGCTGTCATCCCCCATGCACCGTTTGCACGGTGCTCGTGTGAAGGAAAAGCCAAATATTCTCTGCTTACTGCCATTCTGCATGCTGCTAGCATGTCCAAGTTTTCACCATATGTTACTTCAAGACCTTTCAGCCCTTACGGCTGCTCTTAGGTACAAATAATGCTGATTTTAACAAAGACTTAATTGTACTTCAACTCCTTCTGCGAGTTCTTGGTATGCCACAGGATATAGGGATGAGGATGTGTATTTGCCACCGAATACTAAGCAGCTTGCCTTTCATGTCAGGATCAGATATCTTAAGCATGAATGTAAATGTTAAATTGATTGTAGATGTTGCACACAATATAAATCAGTGGTTTCCACAGCAGTATCAAATGTGTTCCTTTGTTAGGTTTTGAACTGGTAGGGTGGGAGATTTGGAAGCAACACTGTTGGATGTAAAGATACAGTTAAGCCTCCTACAGCCAGTTCCATTAAGAGCACTGCATCAAAACATGTGAAAGCATGACGTGATTTAGAAATGCCAGTAGCCCCGAGGACTCCTTCTGTGCTTTAGGGACAGCACGTTGCTGTGTCCAGTTCTGTTGCACTGCTGTAAATGGGGTGAGAGGAGAGACAGGCTACAGGGGAGAACACAACATGTATGACCAAGTCACTTGTTAGTGGTGAGGCTGCTACAGGTGCTCATGAGTCTCCAGAGCATCTCCCTGAACAAGATACAAACTGGAAAATGCAGGCTCCAGGTTTGTTTGGGAGCCGGGCTGTTGTTTTGCCAGGCTTAATATTTTTTATTTTCTCCTTGTTAATGAGTTTGTGCTGTAGCCTCCTCAGAAAGCTATTCAAAGGCTCAGATGCTAATGAACAGGTTTCTCGTTATGTCAGGCAAAGCCACATAATGGGAGCAAGAAAAAGAATTAGTTAGCATAAACAAGGGAAGGATACTGGGGATGAGGAGTGAGTGTTTGTCAAAACTGGCATCGTGGCCATCCAGAAGCAGCTCTGAAGCAGAGGTTGCCAAGTTTAGTTTGTATGCTCACTGTGGTCTCCAGATTTCAGATGAAAAGTGCCAAATGTGAAAGGAATGAGATCCATAAACCAGTTGCTGTTAGGCTCTTTAACAGGAAAATGTTACTTGTCTTCCACCAGCTGGCATTCACTTGCCTTCCCCCTTGTTCTGCTCAACTTTCTCTTCTTCCTTGGAAACTGATGAATTTGTTTCTCTGCTCAGCAGCAGCAGCATCCTCCGTGTGCAGGGCAAGACCATTTAATTGGTTTCTTTCCTTGGACTTTGGGCAAGCAAGTCCTCTGGCTGCAGCAACAGGTCTGCCACACAGGCTTTTCTAATATTCCTTCTGCCTTCACAGCACAGCAGTGTAATGGGCAGGAGAGGAGGAGCAGGCAGGGGCTGCTACAAACACTAGACTTATAGTGGAGCAACCTGGGGAGCTGTCTGATATTTACTTGTTTACCCTTTCTCTCATTTTTTTCCTCCGCTAAAAATCATCTCTGGCAAGGCACCAGATGTACTGTGTGTTGTACCAACAGGCACCAACACTGGTCCAGGGACTGGTGCAGACTCCCAGCTACTGACAAATTTCCCAGCTCTCCTCCGGCCCTTTCCAATTTAGCAGTCAAAAATCTGATTTACGCTGTTAAAAATATAAAGAAACCTTCGATCTTGGTTTCTGTGCTTAGAATTAGGGGAAAAAAAAAAAAAAAAAAAAAAAAAGTTGTCAAGCCTTCAAGCCTTCAGTTTTGAAAGCTAGGAAAATGACCACATCTGGTAAAGGCCTCGCCCCTGGGACAGAAGTGTATAATGGATATCCAGGATGGTAACTACAGCTCGGCCTATTCCATCCGACAGAGCTAGGCCTTAAAAGAGCTAAGGGATGGCATGTTGTGCACCACCCAAGGATCAACATGACCATTCTGCCCTAAGGGTGTCCCAATTTTGACTTTCTTAATTGTGCTACCAGCAACACATGATATCAGTCTTTCAAAAATGCAACTTCCCAGCTACATAAATTGCCCCAAATTTGATAGGATACACGCTGGTTAGCTTAGACTGAGCATGGTCCCCAGATTGTTTGTCTCAGCTAGAATCATGAACAGAGAAACACTGCTGCTTCTTAACAATCATTTGCTTTTATACAACATCTTCCTAAGGTCTCCACTGAAGAAAGATTGCTCTGCTCTCTACCATAGAAAAATCAATGCACCAGGCATGCACAGATCAGGAATAAAATGGCACTGCTGCGTTTGATGTTTCTTTATGGTAGAGGCACTCAGCTCCCCCAGAAGTTCCTTCTGCTCTGCAGAATTTGTGCTGGGGAAAGGCAGAGGAGGATGGCCTCATGTTTGATCTCCTTCAAATATAAAATTGTTCCAGGTCTAAATTTGGCGTCACTCTTCCCTAACTCTCACTTCTGATGCATGGTAGACTTATGCAATTCCTTTAAATATTTACTACTATAACCCATGCCACAAAGATGCATTATTACTTTTTAACCAACATTAAAGTTTAAAAATAGAATAAAAGCCTTGCCTCATACCAGAAGAAATCACACAAACAGGAAATGCACCACATCACGTGTCTACAAACATAAAGAAACATTTTAAATCCCGTCCTATTCCAGAAAAATAATGTAAAGGAAAAATTAAAAATGCACTTTCTGTTGTATTTGGTTTAATTCTATCAATGCCAGTTTGGTCTTTTGTTTGTTTGCTTGCATTGTTGTTTGAAATGTTTGTACTTAATACTGTGTCTGGATCAAGATACAAACCTGAACTGAAGCTCAAAATGGTTGCCATTGCAAAGATACTGCCCCTGATTCCCTCCACAGACACACAACTTACTTGCTGGGGTTGCACAGTTCCTGTGGGAGTAAGGAATATTTAATATATAAATAATATTTTATTTAAATAATTTCTAATATTGTTGCCTGCTAACTACACACCTGGCACGGGTGCATGGATATAACTAATCATGCCAAGCAGTGCCATTCAGGCATCACGCTTCTGCAATTCACAGGGTGCTTCATCAATCTTACTAATGGCTGAGTTTAATATTTTGGGTTAACCTTTGGCCTGGGATTAGAAAGCAGCAATTTAGTTAGCACTGGGCAAGTAGTATTAGAAGTAACACTGAATTGTTAGGCAGTCCTGACATGCTTTATACACCACAGTAAATGGACAGTTGTAATATAATAGAAATGTCATTGTCATTTAGGTCAAAAGAGAGCTGTTTGTCTGAAAACAGTGACTGCAAGCAATTTAGGAGAAAACAGAAAGATTAGCCTCACTAAGTGTGAGCTGCAAGGAAAATGTGCCTGAACAAGATGCCTCTCTTCTAACCCAGTGTTCCCCAGGCTCAGCAAGGCACTGCAGGGAGCAGCAACCTTGTCAAAGGAGGCTCTAAGCTCAGTCTGGATTCAATGGGAGACTGGTAAGGTATTTCAAAACCCATCACTCAGAAAGACTCAAGTAAAAATAGTCAGAGGCAGGCAGGACACCAGGAAAGAGGTATCACACACACTTGCCCTGTTCCTTCTCTTCTATAAGCATTTACTTTTGACCACTGCTGGAAACAAGGGCACTGGGCCAGGCAGTCCTTGTTTTAGTCCTGGATGACCATTCCTGCCTTCCAATGACACACACACTTCCCAGGATGACAATCAGTTTATCAAACTACATGACCTTTCCCAAATAATCTGTAGCACAGACATATCCCTAAACTTCCCAACATCTTTGTCTTCAAAGGTTTGTCAGCCACATGAGGCATGTTCCCCCTGCCTTGTGGAAGGAGAGTTGGGAAAGTTAAAAGAGCTCAAAAATCACTGAAGACACCGCCTCTCATCAAAGACTTTTCAATATCAACTTATAAACTAACTTGAGCCATCATTTCTAAACTACATTTGGGGAGGGGGAGGGGGGGAGGGATGGACACTATGTATTTTTCTTAGGGCTGGAAATGTTTGCAGATTTCAGCATAAATTGCCCTGCAGGGTTCCAATGCATTTGAAATTTTGCATTTTTCTGTCATTGCTGAAGAAAGTATTCCTTGGAGAAATGTCACCCAACTTTAGTAGAGATCATAACTCACAGGAGAGACCTATACAACAATTTCCATTGGGATCAATAGTGACCTAAACAGTTGCCTGCTCTTGACGTAACACTGCCAAATGTCTCTTCAGTGCTTTATAAATGGCAAGGGATATAGCTACTTATCAAAACAAGAAAAGTGATGCAGCAGTGGTTCTGTTCATGGAGAATCAGAAGGGAAAGGAAACAGGTGAGCCTTTATTTGGCAACAAGGGCTGAGCAGATATTTCTCGGCAATAATCACCAGCTGGAGCAAACACAGCAGCTGACAATTAGGATTTTCACCTTCTCCACATCTCTGGCCTAGGGCCTGCTTGATTGCCTTCTTCAGCTCACACCAGCAAAGTGTTTTGCTCTTCACATTAAAATTTGAAGCCTACATTTTCCATAGCATTAAAAAAATAAAATCCAAGGAGGTACACGCAGGTCCCCAGAGACAACGTAATTCTACTTTAGTTTAAGATTTGCTAATGCATTGAGGTCATTAATGTTTCATGGTGGTTCCATTTCTGTGCATGCAAGAAGCCTTTTACACCACCCTGGCTTTAATGAACTCCTCCTGTTCCCCAGGAGGCCTTTGGAAGCAGAGATAGTTTCCCCTAATGAAATGGCCCAGGCTCTTTGTTTTGAAGTTGTTTACATAGTTAATAGCCCCTTAAGGGGAAAAAACAAAATAGAAGCCTGTACATGGAGTTGCTTCACAGATAGAGTACACACGTCACTCAGAGAAATAAATCATGGAGTTTTGAAACGTTTTGATGTATGGGGGGGATTTTTTTACATTTTTTTTTTTCCAGTTAATGTTAATCTCTACAAAGAAAAAGATCTTCCCAGAGGGATGGGGAAAATAAGAGGGGAGATCAAGAGAGATACCCTCCATCCTACAGAACATTTGGACCTTTGCATTAGATAAACTTCTGCTAAAAGCATAACATTTGTCTTTGCTAGAAGTTCTTAAATGAGCATTATTTAGGGTAATAATCCTGGTTTGAATAGTCTGTGGGAGCCCTAATTCCAGTGTTTATGGTCAGAACAGCTCCCTCCACCCCTCTCTTCTGCTTCTTGGAGAAAACTTCTGCATGCCGGCCACTCTTCTGTGATTAAGTGCTATGTAAATGCAGGTGTCAGTAAATCAAACTGACAGAGACATTCTTAGCCACCACAGAGAGTGATAGCCTTGCCTTTTGTCACCTCTGTCCCTTTTTTATCTGCCTCTAACTCATTGGCAAACCCATTTCCATGTCAAATTCAGAAAAAAAAAAAAAAAAAAGAAAAAAAAAAAAGGTCTCGAATAGTGTAGGAAGGGGTGTAACATCTTTTAACTGTGGTTTCTGATAGTTACCATGGTGGTTGTTAAACCTAGAGAACAAATGAGTGGTCTATTATTTCTGAGGCTGAAGCTCATTAAAAGCAAACAAAACAACATCACACACAGACAAAAACCCCAAAGAGGCATTCAAAGTGTCATTTGTATAACTCACCTGACACAGTCCCGATGTTATAATTGTACAATGAAATATGCTTAGTGCAAAATGATCCAAATTGCCAATGTCACAAGGCTGATGGTAAAATGCCTAGGAGAACAGCAGGATTCCTGTGAATAGCTGAATGTTTGCACTTTTTTTAAGTGAAGGAGCAGAGGGAAAGAGGAGTCAGACCACACATAACAGTGTCTTATAAAAGGAGAGGAAATGGACAAGACATCAGGACTTGTTGCTCAAAATTAGAGAGAAGGTGGATTACTTTTACAAGGTAGCCTAACTCTCATTTACCAGGTCAATATATTTTAATCAGTCTTATGTAGGTTGTGCCTGGTGCTACCTGGGTTAATTTGAAAATCCCAGTTGACCTGGCACAGATTTTCTGAATATCTCAGACAACTGGAGGCCAAAAGACCGAGGGTCCTTTTACAGGGGACCCAGAGGTCCCCTGCAGGGAACTGTAAGTGGCTTTAAAAAGTAACAAATTCTCATCTTTATTCATTTTCCTCTTCAAAATAAGATTTTTTTTTTTTTTTTTTTGACAACACATAGTGGGGGCAGAAAGTAGAGCAAGAGTAGCCAGACAAGATGGTTCTTGCTGCAGCCCATAGGGCCAGCAGAATATAGGGTTTCTTGCAAGCACTGCATCAGTCATGGGAAATGAGGCTCTGCTTCTGATCTGGAATTTTCTTTTCTGCTTGTCAAATAATCAGCTTGTGCAAGCAGTTTTAAACAAATTGTACACCTTACTCGGCTTAACTATGAAATGAAGTGGAACAACTGCAGAGCACTTGGATTCAGCTGGTGCTTCACCACTGCGTGGCTGGGCAGGTGGGTGAGGCGCGGGGAGCTGAGTCAGGCCACTTCAAGTCCTTTCACTTCTTCATTTTGACCCAAACTAGCAGGAAGGGACAGACAATTCCACCTGACAAGGAGAGGTTCTGAACAGCACTCACTAAACTTTGGTATAACTTTCTGTTTGGTTAATTGTGAACCATGCCAAAAGACTGGAGAAGGGCTTCTGTCCATGCAAGGGTCGTCTTCCTTCAGCACCTCCACTGCAAATAGGAAAAGGGAAGGGAAGGGGCATGATAATACTTTCAATAATACCTACTTATCTCTCCTTTTTTTTTTTTTTTTTTTTAATTTTCCAGAGTTCTAAATAGCACATAAGTAAATGAATTCTGGCTTTCTTGTGATTTTTTTTTTTTTTTTTTTTAAGATTTCTTTTTACAATATAAAAGAACATTCTACCTTGTGCTTATTAAATTGCGAGTAATACTGTGTACAGGTATTATCTAATTAGTACCGATTGCACAATAGGAAGGACTGCTAAACATTAAACAGAAACCAAGACTTTACAGCAGGAAAGTTTTAATTATGGGGAAAGCTCTCCAGTCACGGCTCGTAGGATACACTTGCACACGTTAAGTAACTAAAGAGCACAGTCTGTTCTGTCAAGTAATGATCCTTTTTTTTTTGTCTGCTTGGGGAAGGAAAAAAAAAGATCAACGTTTAAAGTATGCAATGAGCATTTACTGAAGGGAAAAGGAGAAATAAGTCTTCCATTCACACTCCAGATGTTCCCATTAAACAATCGTTTTCAAAAAAGCTCATCTCATGTGGAAAGGACAGTGCTTCAGAGTTCAGAAGGGAGAAAGGGAAAAAAGTTAACTTGCAAAATAAGGGCAGCCGCTGAAGAGATCATTGCTGGTTTGGGCCTGACAGACGTCAACCCAGCACCGCGGGGCTCAGCATTGGGGCTGGCGTAACTGTGCAGGGGTGGGAGTGCAGGCACCCAGCTGCTGGACCGTGCCCATCTCCTTTAGTCCCCCAGGGACCTGCTGCCATGGGCACGTTTGCTGCTTGTAGGAATAGCATGGGTGATTTTTTTTTTTCCAGTTATTATTATTATTATTTAAAGTGTGCTTTAGAAACCTTCTTTGGCTTTTGTCTTGGAAATTGAGAGGTTTTAAGAGCTCAAAGCAAAGCAGACACTTCCCTGAATTCCTCATAGTTTTTATCATTTTGGTCAAAATAATACTAGCACAGGCAGAGCGTATGCAGACACCAACACTGTAGGAAGGCTGGATTGACTTCAGCCTCATTTATTGTTGGGCGCAGGCCAAATAACACTTCATGATGCTTGCAACAGCAGCCTGACCCAAAAGTGTTCTCTCCCATGCTATTTGCCTGCACTAGCTGGTCACCTGCGTGGTGCAGCCCAGCCACACAAACAGCCACAGAGCAAACCGCTCCACCTAGGCTACATTTTGCCCAGCCCCGCTTCCTAACTGAGGGAGCAGGAAGGGTATGACAGGTACAGAAGTGGAGATTCCCGCTCACAGTTTCTTTCTTACAGTGGGCAAGTCAAGGGCTACATGGGCTGAGTTTAAAACCGACCTGCCTTCTCTGGACTTTGCAGCGGCAGGAGGGGGCAAAATTCGCAAGCATGATGGTTTGGGGAAGGTAAACACAAAAACACTTGCTAAATAGCTAAATAGCCAAGGACAAAAAAAAAAAAAAAAAAAAAAAAAAAAAAAAAAAGAGAGAGAGAGATTTTAAGGCCCTTTATGTTTTCTAAAAATATATAAAACTGGATCCCTTTAATCTGAACTGACAATGACTGTGTCACTATTGTTTTTCTGGGCTGAGTTTGTCATTATTTTATCCAGCTTTCCTGAAAGTCAATGGGGATTTTAATTACAGTTCTCTCCCAGGCTCCCCTCAGTCCAAGTTATTGCCACATGCCCTTGGCAAGTCAGAGCTCAGCCCTGCTCAAATTGTAGCAGTCCATTTTCCCATCAAAGGCACGATGCTGCAGAATGATGTATGGCTCAGTGTGGTTCATCTAACACTGTCCTTGTTATGGAGCACAACAAGGACTGGTGAGTGCCCAACCACCTGCACAGGCAGAAAAATGTATTTGTGGGTCACTACAGCAGCAGTTGGTTGAGGAGGGTTTTGTGTGTTTTGTGTAAAATACACCGGTTCTGCGGTGAAACGCCTGGTGATAGCCCTAGGTCTGAAATACTATTGAAATAAATAGTTGCACACTAGCATTTTATAGCAATAAATGGTATTACTGCACTGCTGCTGTTGCAGTGTGTCCTCGGTTCTGGCAGCTGTCCTGCACTGGGGACATGTCCTTCCCATCAGGAAGATGGGGGGGCCAGTGGAGCCACCAGAGACCACTGCCTCAAGCCAGAGCACAGCACATCCTGCAGAGACTGTCCTGGTTGTGCACACACACCATGCCAAACTCACTTTAAACCACCTTTGTCTGTGTCCCGAGTCTTACTGGGGCAGCAAACAGCTCCCAGCTCTTACAAAATCCAATTGAGCAGGGTGAGCAGTCAGTCTGCACTGAGTGCTGCTTCATACCACTATGCCTCGATCATTTTAAAGCTGGGGACCCAAGGAAGAGCTAACACCTCGGGAAGCCACCAGTTTCTGTGACACCACTGCATCAGAGCAGTGTGAACCAGGAGTGATTCTCCCTCTGAGGCAGCATGAGGAACTGGAGCAAGAAATGTCACTTCTCCTGGTACTTATGGGGCAACACAATACTCAGGGAAGATTTTAGGGATCACATCTTAGCTCTTTTTTTTTTTTTTTTCTGCTGTTCCAGTTGCTCAACTGTGGGCAATGGAAAACATGCTGCTTTAAAAAAAAAAAA